CTACACGTGTAGACGCCTGCCTGGGAGCGTTTACTCCTGAGTAGGTTACTGCTGAATAAACCGCACCCAGATCTAATGCATGCATAGACACACCCTGTGAGACGCAAGAGACTGGGCAAGACAGACCTACGGTCTGACCCAGTAAATGGCAATCCTTATGTTCTCATTAAGTGTTAAATGGACTGACATTTATTCCTGGGAACGTGAGCAGAGTTGACGTTATCATTTGCTTTTTGCATTTTTTTCCCCCAGCCCCTTTCACCCGACTTGTACCTAACTCCCCCTTACTAATATTTCCGAGCTCCAGAGGACCCAGAACATCACTTGACTTCGGCATTACTTCCCGTAGCAGTCTAGAGGACCGATTAGCAACAACTGAGTTATATCTGGAGATGAGAAAATCCCTCCATTGGGAGAGTGGGGGGGGGCTGCTATTTTTGCAGTGATGTGTTTCTTTTTTAAAAACCTGTTTGCTATAATTCTAGGAGACTAGAACATCCCTGATCACTGGGGATCCCTTTCAACCCATTCACAACGTCAAAGACACTCATGTTTTTAGTTTACAACCCCCCCTCCCTTTATATACTTGGGAATAACCTTGAAAATCTTAAGATTGGTTGCTTGGTATTTTATGCTGTTTTCTAGGCTTTCCCTTTATTTGCTGCTTTGATATCAGTGTAGGGACTTGAATATGGACAACATCATGAGAGCACGCATGCCGGATGGTTTCCGTGATACTTGCAAGGCAGTGGAGGAGTTGCTGAGTATTGCTGGAGGTGTTGAGAGTATTGCAAATAAGCTAAAAGTAGAAAGTAGTGTAACAGCTTTACCAGCTGAATTTTCACTGGGTTATCACAGTAACAAGCTGTGAAATGTGAGAAGGCAATAGGTGTGAGAAATCTGGCTGTAGTTTACATGGTTTTTTGGTCCCCTTCCAATTTACTCCACTCCTTGTCTGACAGCGTGGTACCAGCAAGCAGCCCAGAAAGCTTTACCCTAGTCAGAACGGGTATTGAAGATGGGGTACAGCGGGGACTAAGATATCACGGAGTCATAGGGAAGTAGGGCCGGAAGGGACCTCAGGAGGTTGCATCTAATCCAACACCCCGCTCCCACCAAAATAATCCCTGTCTAAATCATCCGGGTCCAGGTTTGGGCCTCGCACCTCAAAAAGGGCACGGGCAGTTTGGAAAGAGTCCAGTGCAAAGTGGCAAAAATGGTTAGAGGCCTGGGAAGCAACACTCGTGAGGAAAGGCAGGAAGAGCTGGGGTGATTTAGTCCAGAGAAGAAAAGATGGATGAGGGATTTGATCACAATCTTCAAATATCTGAAGAGAGATTAGAGAGAGGATGGAGATGGGCTTTTCTCTGTGGCTGCAGGGGACTTGGAGCAATGGCTTCAAGCTGCGCACGGGGATATTTAGATATTTAAGATATAGGCAGGCAAGTTTCTTTGAGCAGCTGTGCTCTCTTTTATTAGACCACCTGAGTAGTTTACTCAGTTGGTTTAATAAGAGGAAGCACATCTGCTCGAAGAACCTTGCCTGCCTCTGTCCTAATGAGGACGGCCAAGCCCGACAGGCCGTGCCGTGGGGTCACCTCCTCCCTGACCGACCCCAAATGCAGCAGCGGTCTGACCCTGAGTATAGGGGCCAGGTCCTCTACTACCGGGGCCAGGTGCAGCCGTGCAGCCCAGGACGAGGCGGAAGGGGGAAGAAGAGGATGTAGGACGGGGTCTCCAAGTTGTCTCCAGCTGCCCTTGCATCTGGATGCAGATAGGAAGAGGAATTCAAGGGGGTGGAGTTGAGTATTATTGCCCTTTGTGGGGCAGTTGCAAGAACTGTGAGGGGACTTATTGCCCCCCCGGGGCAGGTGCAAACAACGCACTCAGCTCAGGCATGGGGTGGTCCATGCACTGCAGCTTTCCCCGCCCGTCCGCCCAACCGACCTGTTGGCTTTAGCGCGCCCGCCCGCATCACCCAGCGGGGGGCGCATGCGCACAACACCCAGCGCCGCGCCCTTCCGAGCGTTCCATGCCCCTACGAGTGGCCACCCGGGAGCGCGGGTTTTGGCCCCACGCGGACGTCGTCGGCGCTCGGCCCAGGCCGTACGATGTTTGTGGAGCTGAACGAGCTGTTACACGCCTCCCCGGAGCGGCCCGAGCAGGTGAGGAGTGCACTGCACAAGTTCGGCCTCCCCGCGCCCCGTGAGGCGCAGCCTAGCCCGGACTACGACTCCCAGCATGCCTACCGCACGATGCATGCTGGGAGTTGTAGACCCCGGTTGAGACGGGCAGTGGGCGGTGCATGCCGGGAGATGTAGTCCCGGCTTGGGACGGGCAGTGCGCGGTGCATGCTGGGAGCTGTAGTCCCCGTCCCGCTTGGGAAGGGCAGTGCGCGGTGCATGCCGGGAGCTGTAGTAGCCAGCACCCCGCCGTCCCCCTGCTGCTTGATGAGACAACCTGGCAGCCCTTGATTTATGAATGAACTGTAGTGAGCCCAGGACAGCTCTGCCACTACCAGGGGGTGCACCGATCCCCGGAGAGACGGAGGAGCAGACACCTCTCAGCATCCACTGTCCGCACAGAAACAAGAGTCCTTCCAGAATCCACCGAGACACGGACACTTCTCCCCACACCTACAGACATACGGATAGTTCTCTTAAAATCCACAGAGAAATGAATATTTCTCACAAAACCTGGACAGAAACAGCTATTTCTCTCAAATATTTCTTTCGAAATCCACAGAGGAACAACTATTTCTCCCAAAATCTATAGACGTACAGCTATTTCTCTCAAAATCCATCGAGAAATGGATATTTCTCATGGATATTTCACGCAAAATCCACAGATCTCCAAATCCACAGAGAAATGGATATTGTTTCACAGATATTTCTCTCAAAATCCATAGAGAAATTGGTATTTCTCACAGATATTTGTCTTAAAATCGATAGACACGCAGATATTTCTCTCGCGGTCCGTAGAGAAGCGGATCTTTCTCTCCGTCACCCATGTCGGCGGTCACAGGAGCCGTGTGCTCCTGTCTCCCTCCCTGCGCATCGCTGGCGTTCCCCATCTGTGTCCAGCATCCGTGTTTCTTGCCGGCGAAACGTGACAAGCTGTCTTGTCCACGCCGCGCTGGCTGGAGGGGCCCTGCCGGCTCTAGAGCTGGGTGCTGAAGTCGTCGTCCCGCCGGTGCGGGCGGTGGCAGGGGCTGGCTCCGGCGGGTCCGTGGGCACCTTCTGTGGCATCCACAGCGCCCCCGGGACCGTGCTGCACACGGTGCTTGCTGCAGCCAGTGCAAGAGCTGGTCTCAGACCGCTCGGAGCTGGCCCCGTGCGCAGCGTGTGTCCTGGAGCAAGTGCCATGCTCTGCATTCATCCTGAACCCTGCCCACGGGGCTGGTCCGGGTCAGTTCAGACCCAGGGCCAGCACCAAGGGATGGAAGATGGGGCTCTGTGCAGACCATACATTTGACACCCCCGCCGTAACACACCAGCTACAAAACTCGGGGTCGGAGCTCAGCAGGGGATTGCGACGCTTGTTTGCAAAAATGCAATTACGGCGGGGCAGGCTTGGGCTGGAAGCGAGTTGCTGTGGGGCAAAGATTGGGAACTGCTGCTGCAATGCTGTCCTCTCTTGCCAGGTGTACTGACCACTTGCTAAATTGCTCCCGATTCAGGCCCTGCGGATGTGTTTGTTAGCGTGCGGATCCTGCTGTAGTTGCGCTGCTTCAGACCTTTGATGTAGACACGATACACTTTAATTTGGTAACTTGTGGTGGTAGCAGAAGGGTGATGTTGTAGCCACGATGGCCCAGGAGTTATGTGAGAAGCAAGGGTTTCTCAGGGTGGTAGCTTTCATTATAGTTGGCATACAGTTAGAGAAGCTTTCAAATGTAAGACGTTCTTCATCGGTTGGAGGAGGGGGTGAGAGAAATTAAAATTCCTGTCCTTTCTTTCAAGGCTCTTCATGACCTGCCTGCTCTCTTCTCATCTATCCGTGCATCTCCGTCCTCATTTAATAAGCCGATTTGCCAGCTTCACACACAAAGCTCCTAGTGTCTGCTGCCGCTGCTTTTCTCCTCCAGGTCCCTCCAGACCTGCTGTTGCTGAGACGCTCCTAAGAAAGTGGCCAATGAGGGTGGCTGGGTTTGGGCAGCAATGCAGATAGCTGACTGCTGGCTTCGTTGTTATTGCCATAGCAAGATACAAAACAGCTCTACAGAACAGTGGGAAAATGGCTGTTCCTCTTTCCCCTTTACTTTCTGTCATTTGCTACCGTAGCTTCTGATCCTGGCAAAGACTCAGGCAGGGGTAGTTTCACTCCGGGGCTGGCTGTAGCCTGTGTAATGAAGGCCTCTTCCTTGGGCAGCTGCAGTCACTGTAAGCCTACAAAATATTTAGGTGCATAATATTGACTGGTTCCCTGTTTTAGATTGGATGAGAGAGCGTACGAAGAGTTAGAGAACTGCTGGGGTCTTAGACCTGCCTCAGGACCAGCAGGTGCTGGCCACCCTTGGAGACAGGATGAGCCTGGGGTCATACACAGGCCCAACCGTTCCTTTGCTCTTGACCCTAATCCTCCTCCTGGAGTTTTGGATGATCTTAAATAGACTCAGGTGCTAGATGGAGGCTCGGAGGGATTAAGTGTCACCTACTGAATTTCTAACATAACTGTCTAGAACATCGGTTTTGTCCTCGGTAGTCTGCCTGGTCCAGCTTTCCTTAATTTATTGCAATCGTGCTCTCACTCTGCAGGGCAGTGCTGGAAGGGAGTGCTTCTTCCTGGCAAATCTCAGGTGCTGGAGCAAGGGTGCTCAGTCTCTGGCCCATGGGCCAGATCCAGCTGTGTCGTTTAGCTTGTGTGTCTGTCCATGGCTCTGAAAATTTGGCATTAGGGGAGCTGTGGCAGTATTAACTGCTGCTCCTCTGTTGTCAGATAACCCTGGGGAGTTCTGCAGGCCGGGCGACATAGCCCTGCATGCTAAATTGTGTTGGTACACAGTGGACCTGGTGTGTGGGGTTACTCCATGGCTGTATCTGGTGTGTGGGATCAGGCTGTGTGCCTGCTCACACCCGCAGACTGATCCCGCATGCTGAGCCCATGCTGGATCTGACTTGTGCACTGGGCCCGCACCACTGATCCTGCCTGCACAGCTGGAAGATTGAGCACCGCTGTGCTATGGCTCCCAGGTCCTAAAGCTAATCAAGGCCTTGAGCCCTCCATCTACATTTTCTGTGCTCCACGAGACCCGAATCACCAGCAGGGTCACGGCGTGCTGGATTTCTGCTGTCATCTTTCCTCTCTGTTTTGCCACCTGAACGAGGAGCCTGTGGCTGTCGGGTGTGCAAGAGTGTGCTAAGTGGAAGCTTTGCCTGTTTATTGCCTGTTGGCTGCCTTTGCCTCTATATTGTAGTAAGACTGGAGTAGTGCATCACGGTGGTCCAGGGAATATGCAACAAGTAAGGCTTCTTTGGTGACATCTTTTATTGGACCAACTGTCTAGCTGGGAGAGGTGTCAGATGAGCTTTTTTTTGTGCCCAAAGGCTCATCTGGCATCTCCCCCAGCTATGCAGCAGGTCAAATAAAAGGTGTTGCCCAAGAAACCTTTGTTTCTACGTCTCTGTGTCTACTTAGTCGCAGCGAGGCTCTGCTGTGTCCCTGCAAGCCCCTTCTCGGCCAGTTCCCTGGTGACCCTGAGCAGTCCGTTCTCAGCCTTGGGGCCCTTTGCCTTCTCTTCCCTGAGAAATACCCCCTGCTCCTGTGCCCTCCTCTCAGAAGCCTCCACTAGTGCACTGAAGGGTTCCTCTTAGGTTCCCGAGATGACCAGCCATCGGGCTGGACTAACACTGGTGTTTGTGAGGGCCTGGACATCTGAGGTGCTGCCCCTGGAAGGGAAGGCGAATAACAAGCCATCGTTGTTCATTCCCATCCTACCCTGCCACTGTGGGATGCCTCCTCGGAGCCACCATCCTAGGAGACTCTGAGCATGGTCCCTCCGCCTTTCCTCTCGGCTGCATAATAACAGAGATGTAGGGAGCCTCTGGCTCATGGAGGTTATTCCTAGTGGGTGGCGGTGGTTGCAAAAGGCAGGTGTGGGACCTGCTGGGCTCCACTTGACCCCACATGAAGGAGGTGTTTGGGGTCAGAGGCTCTGGAAGCAGAGGTCAGGCTTCAACTAAGGGTGGCTGCAGCACAAAGGGCCCATCAGCGGTGGGTGGTCCGGGGTGGAGCTGTGTGCGGGTCCCCACCAGTAGCATGGGGCTGGGGCTAGCGGTGGCAGCAGCCAGAAAGAGTTGCCACTGCTTTGGGCTGCCCAGAAATGCAGCCCAGCTGCAGAGCCATCCCAGCCCTGCTGCGGGGCGGCAGGATGTGCCATGGGCCGGATGGCACCTGGGCCAGGCAGGACAGAGGGATCTGATGCGGGCCAGACAAAGTCCCTCCGCAGGCTGGATCTGGCCCAGGGGCCATATTTTACCTACCACTGGTCTAGCTCCATCCTCTTTGCAACTCCCCTTCAAGTAGTTAAAGGCTGCTATTAAATTCCTCCTTCAGTCTTCTCTTCTCCAGGCTGAATCAGCCCAGTTCCCTCAGCCTCTCCTCACCAGTCATGTCCCACAGCCCCCAAATTATTTTCGTTGACCTCCACTGGACTCTCTCCAACTTGTCCACATCTTTTCTATAGTGTGGGGCTCACAACTGGACACAGGACTCCAGATGTGGCCTCCCCAGCGCTGAGTAGAAGGGAAGGATCACTTCCCTCGATCTGCTGGCGACGCTCCTACCAATGCAGCCCAGGATGCCGGTAGCCTTCTTGGCAACAAGGGCACACTGCTGGTTCATCTCCATCTTCTTGTCCACGGTCACCCCCAGGTCCTTTTCTGCAGAGCTGCTGCTTAGCCAATTGGTCCCCAGCCTGTACCGGTGCATGGGACTGTTCTGTCCTACGTGCAGGACTTTGCACTTGTCCTTGTTGAACCTCATGAGACTCCTTTTGGCCCAATCCTCCAATTCGTCTAGGTCACTCTGAATCCTAGCCCGACTCTCCAGCATATCTGCTACACTCCCCGGTTTGATATCATCCATGAACTTGCTGAGGGTCCACTCTGTGCCATCTTCCAAGTTGTTGATGAAGATATGGAACAAAACCAGCCCCCGGACCGACCCCTGGGGCACTCCACTTGATACCGGCTGCCAACTAGACATCGAGCCATTGATTCCTACTGTCTGAGCCCGATGCTCCAGCCAGTTTGCTGTCCACCTTACAGTCCATTCATCCAGCCCGTACTTCCTTAGCTTGCCTGCAAAAATGTGGGAGACCATATCAAAACCCTTGCTGAAATCAAGGTATACCACATCCACTGGTCTCCCTACATCCACAGAAGCAGTCAAGTCATCATAGAAGGCAGTCGGTTTGGACAGGCACGACTTGCCCGTGGTGCATCCATGCTGACTGTTTCTAATCACCTTCTCCTCCAAGTGCTTAGAAATGGATTCCTTGAGGATCTGCTCCATAATTTTTCCAGGGGCTGAGGTGAAGCTGACTGGTCTGTAGTTCCCTAGATCCTCCTCCTTCCTGATCCTTGAGACAAAACCGCAAGGAAATACAGCACCGGCCAGCAAAGATGTCCGCGGGTGGGGCGGGCAGCCAATTAATAGTGCAAGTGGCACTAGCCCTTGGGCAAATCCTGTCAATTTTGGTATTAAAGTCACCCTGTAAGCTGTCTTAAGCAGCTAATTCCTGCCAGAGCTTCAGCCTTCCGCTTTCTGCAGTATTGCTCGGAGCACCTCGACTCTATCAGCAGCCATGAAATTGATGGGAGCTCCTCTGTTTCCAGGCTGCTAATAGCACCCTGCCAGCTGTGGTTGAGATGGGCTACAGGGATTAATTGCCCGCCCCAACTATCGGGCAGTTTTTTGATTGCCACATGTGTCTGCTGTACAGACAGAAGCTATTTCCAGAGGCAAGGGAGAGCCCAGCCAGATACGTGCTACTGGGCGTGTCTACATGTGTTTTTACGCATGCCTAAACTTAATGCGCATTAACCTAGTGCGTATTAAGGCAATTTAGGCGCTCATCTACATGTGCGCACGCTAATGCGCATTAATGCAGGTGTGCAGAATGATTTGGGACTAAAGTTAGTCCCAAATCAATGAACACACATCACGTTAATGTGCGTTAGTGCATCTACATGTTTGCTAATGTGATTTAGCTATTCACACATACATTTGATACCTGGTTTATGCAGGCATCAAATTTATGCTTGAATAGCCTTAAATCACCATTTTTAAGCTGCATTAAGGGCACACACGTGTAGACACGCCCTTAATACATCTTAATGAGCTAATGCACATTAAATGTGCACATGTAGGCACGCCCACTGTCACTCACCAGAATGGTCCCTTCTACCGTTCTGCCTGGCTGCAGGGTATTGCTGCCTGTTTGAGAGCCCGGATCGAGGCAGCTCAGCCTTGTGGCGTCAGGGTCCCATTTTGCATCCTTTGCAGACATGATCAACGTTAGCCGTGTCATTAACGTTGCTCTGCAATACGTTTTAGGCCTCCGGGGAGCTTGCTTTGTTCATGGTGAGACGCTGCCTGCTTCTAGTGGCTTAATGCTGCTGTATGTTTCCTTGAGTAGATTAAAAAAAAAAATGAAGCCTGCCAGCGCATTTCTTCAATCAGCAAAAAGCCCTTTTGAAGATTTGTGTTGATTTAAAAAGGGCTTGCTAAGCAGTTACTGAAAAACAAGTGCCGTGATGAGATTTATGTGGATAACAAGCCCGCACTGATGAACTGGATTCATTTCCAGCACGACTGAAATGCAGCGCCTGCTTTGTAACAGAGCTGTAGGATGTGCGGCTCCCCGTAAACTTAACAGCTGATCTGCACGTTCTTGTTGGTAGCCAGCACAATTGCAAGGTGAGCAGGTGGCCTGGGGGATAGGCATGGTCGTGGGGGCAGAGTTGGCGCAGTAGGCTGATCCATAAGAAGCTGACAGTGGCAGCGTGGCTGTTTTTGAGTATGTGGCACAAGAAGCCGATTGGTTTCATCAGAAGGGTGGGAGAGAGTCGAGAGTCCCAGGGAAGGAAGTGGCAGTGTCCAGAAGGTCATGAGCATGCTGTAGCTAGCATGCACAGTTTGCAGTGGTCGTTTGTACCCCTTTAAGCATGTGGAGGGATGCTGTAACTTGGGGCACGGGGAGCAGATCTTGGAAAAGGTGCTCGCTCACAGCCACCCGTAACAATGCTGTCCAGCTGTGGGAGCAGACACGCGCATTGCTGGTACATCTCAGTGCGTGGTACCAGTCACCTATGATAAAGACAAGTGCAGCAGTGCTTACTAGTGTCCTTTGCAGTGCTGCTGGCAGCCTGAGAACCTGCGGAGCAGGAAAGTTGGGGACATGCGTGTCCACGTTGGCTTGTGTGGGCCTCATTCAGGCTCCTGCTTGTGAGGCATGCTTTTGTGGGTGGAGTGCCTGGGTCTTGGCCCTTGGCTGAAGTCCAGATCCATGCTGGAATCCTCTCTAGGATCCCACCCAACTCCTTGTACTGTGGGCAGGTGGTGGGAGTGCTGCTGGAGGCCCGGGGGGTTTCTTTTTAGCCTTTTTGCTCTCTCAAGCCATCCTCTTATCCTTGGCTTTGGTATGGTGCTGCCCAGCATCCCAGTTGTCACCCATTGGCTGTCGTCATGGCACTTTCCTACAGTCTGCTGTCGTTCCTGTGCCTGGACCCCAAGGCTTCCTGAACTCGATCTCCTCCAGGGGATGAGGAGGTTCCACGCCTCTGCCTAAGTCCAGCTGGAAGCAGGGCAGAGGGTTTATGTGCTCTAGGTAGGAAGAGCTGGTAGATGTGCTTGCTAGATGGGTGACTCCTGGATTATATGGGTGCACAGAGATAGGACCTGGCTGCGTACAACCTGCAAAACAGGAGGTGATAGTTGGTCACCATGACCTCAGGGCAGTAGACTGCACAGATAAAGGCTGGCCCACTGGAGAAGGGCACAAAGCAGCATGGGAAGGCGGCTGGAGGACCACCAGTCTGCTTTGGAGCACAGGTATGACCATGTGAATGTGACGCAACAGACTCCAGCGTGAAATTGCTCCTGATTTCTGCCAAGACTTAACTTGGGATACCAGTGTAAGGTGTCACATGGACGTCCATGCAACTAGGTTTCCACTGAAGTCAAGCCCTGCCCCTTCCCTTACACTGCCTTCCACCACTCAGCAGCAAGCCCTGATGGGAAAATTGCTAGTGACAGCTGAATGGACAAGGCCTTCAGTTTTCCAGCTGAAATCAGCCTGTAGCAGCAGTCTTGGGCTCTCCTTTGTGTTATTGGCCAATGGTAGGAAACCTTAAAGTTGTGCTAGGCAGGGTTGAGCCATGTTTCTTGCACTTGGCAGAACTCTAGTACAATCTGAGACCTCTTAGCACCTTCTGGTCCTGATCATCCTGCACAAAGAATCCCCATTGTGAATTAATTGTGACTTCCCTATTGCATGAGAATTTATGGAATATGTGGGACCTACGTGTGTGTGTGTGTGTGTGTGTGTCTTTCTTTCTGATATCTTTGATCACCATCTGATCTGCTGCAACGGTTGTGGGGTCTCCTCTTTAAGCTCTTTTGCTCCATGTCTTTCAGGGGACATTCACCCTGCTGCGGGACACCAGGACAGATGGCAGCTTCCTGGTGCACCACTTCCTCTCTTTCTACCTCAAAGGTAGGTGAGGAGGTGGAATACAACAAAGGACTTGCAATTTTTCTCCCTTTGGATGGAGGTTCCCTCACAAGTGAGGTCTGCCAGTGGGGTAAAGCAGCAGTGGCAGCTTGTGATTAGTGAGAGAGTGGGGGTTGGCATGCATTGGCTCTTGTCTACTCCCAAGGCACGTTATCTCTCTGGGGTTTGGTTTTTCACTCTGCAAAGTCAGGTACTGCTT